GTGGTCAAAGGTAGGTCTGGAACAACCCAACCTCTTCCACTGGCCCCTTCCTTCCGTAAAACAATCCAGATATGGCTGGCAATCACGTTCCCAGTCTCAAAGGCTAATTAACAGGGTAAATTTTGGTGAGTAATTTGTCATGAAGCTCTCAGCATCACTCACTTTTGTCTGCAAATACGTTGGGGACGCAGTGCCACTCGGTAGCGTTCTGGAGCAGAGTCTTGTACTGGCCATAGCTTCCATGAAAGAAAACAACTGGGAAGAGAGGAAAGAGAAGGAAAGTGCTACTGTCATCCTTTCCCCCTCATTTATGCACAGCCTGTCCTACGCTCCTTGTTCTGGCCACGAGACCCCACCGGGACCGTTACGTTAACAAGCTCTGAAATCTGTATGGAGGAGATGAGAAACAGCAGACCATTTCTCCACTACCGGTTTCTCTTTCCTTTGAACAGGCCTTAATCAGACCTCCCCTCACCTCTGCTGGCTGAGACACTCATTTTCCCAGCTGACACAACCATCTTAAACTTCCTTTGAGGACGGGGTAAGGAAAGGGTCAAAGAAATCACGGGACAAGATTAATAAAGGTGGACTATTAATGTGCATTCCCTCGCAACCTTCCCGGGCGTTGCAGCTTTAGAGCACCACTTTCACCTTTATAAGAAGGTGTAGAACTGTTGGGTGTCGAGGCCTCACCCAAGGGAGTTAAGAAAAAGCACCGAAGAGTCATCACAGAGCAATAGGATACTCCAGAACAGTACCAGCAAAGGTTGGTTGGTCCAGGTAGCGTGGGTGGGATGTGGCTGGAGCATTTTGATGGATTCACCCCCACCCTGCTAAAATATGGACAGCCTGGTACTAGTATTTCCAAAGAGATCCCACCCACTCCTCGGCTGCAACGTTGTCAAGCGTGGGTGGGATGTGGCTGGAGCATTTTGACGGATTCACCTCCACCCTGCTAAAATATGGGCAGCCTGGTACCAGTATTTCCAAAGAGATCCCACCAGCTCCTCGGCTGCAACGTTGTCTCAGGAAGCTCTGAGAGAGAGACCAGGTCAGGAGAACCAACATCCAACAGCCAGCATTCAGGGAACCTACTCAGATGTCCTCTGACACTAAAGTGACTTCTCAGCTCTTGGTGAGAGAGGAGAAACTGTCTGGTTTCATCCAGGACTGGCTTTATTCAGGCAGGTGGGAAAGTCAGAGGAGCAGTGGGAAAGCCCTGCCAGGGAATGGACATTCCCTGTGGAAGGAATCCTACTCCCAGACTGAGAAGGCAGAGGTGGGAGAGGGGCAGCAGAACCGGCTGTTTGGGCGAAGGGTGTTTGCCCGCTGGCAGAGAGACCAGAATATTGTTTTTCCATCTGACAAAAGGCACTCAACTGCTCCCTTCATCCCGGGGGAATTAACGAGACCCTGGAACCCACCAAGGCAGACGGTTATGAAGGCACTTTTGATGGCGAGGACAGAAACAAAGAAGACCCAGGGGTTCAGCCAGGAGCAGCTTGTCCCTTCTGCCGAGGCTGAAAAACACAAGGCAAGGGTGGGAATGCCCCAGCCCAGAGTCAGCAGCAGGATAACCCAGGTGGTTCTGCACCCCAACAACCTGCCAGCACCCTTGTTCCAAGGACTGCGGAGCCCCACAGGTGTTGTGACCAGGTCCTGCTGCCCATCGTTAGCAGTGGGTCAGACCCACAGAGCAGGGCAACATGGGGGCTGCCCTGAAGCTGCTCTTTTATTTCACTTTTTATCACAAGCCCTGCCTGTACTTTCCCCAAACTGCACTCCTCCTTTCTCCCCAACACACCTTCCATGTTGCCCTCCGTTACTCCTGCCTTTCACTGAACGCTCCTTCGTACCTCCCTCTTCTTCATCTCTCTTTTGAGCCTCTTTCTCTCAGCTGCCTTTATTTTGGTGCTGTCCCCCAAACCCTTTTATGCAATAGCATATAGTCACTTGAAGGAGTGACTGTCCCATGTTTGCAGAGGCAGACACATGGAAGAGATTGCTTTCCTTCACTTTGAAGCTTTACTTGGTTGTTCTTAGAGACACCAGAGATGGAAGCAGTGACTTGTGCTTAGCTTGAAGCAGATAGTTTTACCTGGGTGATGATAGTAGGATAGCACTCTTCAGTCCCATTATTTACAGAAAAAAAAACACTGAAAGGAATGGCAGACTAGAGTCTGCCCAGACTTTCATTACGCCAGCTCTGGACAAAAAGGTCATTCTCCCAACCCAAGCACTCCCCAGTACCTTCATCTGTTGCTTTGCTCTTGACCTAAGCCCCTTCTCCCAGTAGGAGGCCAGTCCCTGTACCATGCCCATTATCCATCCCAGCCCTCTGTTTTCCCCCACCTCCTTCTCGTTCTCCAGGAGGACAGAAAGGAAGGCTTTGTGGTTACCTGCAGTTCCAGGACTGACTCTCCCTCGGCGATTCATTATTTCTACCATAGTATCACTCTTCTCCACCAAAAGTCAACGTTACCAATATGGCCATAAATATAGCCTTCCTCCCACACAGAAGACTGCACTAGGGCAGCTCCCACACGGGTGAGGAGCCTTTGCAGCCTCTAATCTGGTGTGCAGAAACATCTGCACCCTGGGTGTTCCCCACAGCACATGGAGACGGGGGGAATTTTCATCATTTCTCTGGAAGGACGTCTCACAAGATGCTCGTTGCAACACAGAGACTCACAGTCAGATGAAGATTAGCAGCAATCCAGTGCAAACCACCTCCTTTTGCACGTATTCGAGCAGTTTCACAGGACATACTACTGCCTTTAACTCTTTGGTGTTTGTTCTGTAGTGAGTACGCGTGTGCAAATGCCTACACTGTTGGTACTTGCGAGCAAAGAGCAAAACCCACTCACAACTTCCTGCAAAAAGGAATTAGGAAAGTCTGTCTGTGACTCAGTCTGGGCAAGTCCCCGTGTGAAGCCTGAGCCCAGTATCCCAGAACACAACAAAGAACTTGCCAACGTTCTTTTTAACTAACTGCTCAGAAAAGAGGATGGAGCTTTGAGTGGGGCGATTGCATGTGACTTGTCATTCCGGAGCTGGAGGTCACAAGGGATCACTAGACAATGCCAGAGTCCCTGTGCATTACGGATAATGAAGATTTTCTTGGTCTCAACTACAAAAGGCACAGCCCTACGTGGTGCTTCTAACACTGCCCGAGGCGATGATTCAAAACCCTGCAGGTTAAAGTGTCCCTAAGGATAAATAATCTCTGCAGGATCTCGTTGTACTCTGAATGGACTGCGGTAGGTCCGCAGCCTTTGCTCTTCCATGTTCCACCAGCTGGTTTCTTCCTGTGCAGAGGCACGTATGGATGCCCTGAGGAAGGAATGGAATAGCCAGCGCAATAGCATAAGCACATCAACTGAAGACTCAAAAGAGCAGGGCACAAAGCTGGTTACAAATGAGGAAAAACCTAAATTATGCGTAGAAAATACCATCTAAGGATGTCTTGTCTTGTATTACAGGCTGTAGGCAGGGTCAAACCCTCCAACATTGGATTCCAGCATTGGAAAGATGGTCCGTACATGTGCTTGCTGGTATTGTTGTAGAAGGTATGAGCTACTAGAAGGCACTAGCTCTTGGATTCACAGTGCAGTGAGAGATTCTCAAGTGACATTTTGAAAAGTTCCCAGCCCTCATGCTGGAGAAGAGAACTGAATATCACTGACTGTATCACTTCCACTCACGTATTCCCACCCCGCAGAGTGAGGGCGCAGACTCCAGCACTCACACCCATTCCAAAAAATCCTCTGTGTTCTCCTCAGGTCACTGCTGGTCTCTCAGTTTTATTCAGGATGAGGTTTGCTCCATCAGCTTCAGAAATGTGAAGACAATGGCTCTTCTTCGTGTGGAAGGTTGTGCCAGCTCTGGTGTACTTCTGCCTTTCCAGTGGATTGCAACACACATTTGTGTTTACGTCAGCGCTTCCTATCTGTTGTTGATCTGTGTGGCTGCTTATGAGTACTTACTCTTCTTCTCCTCTGTGTACCTGCATCAGTTGATGCACACCTTGTACGTACACGCTCGGTCTCACTGCTGGCTGGAGCTGGCGCCGCGGCGCTGCAGCAGCCTTGCCTCTGCTGGGCTCTGGGCTTGAGCAGCTCCTGCCACCACCCACCACCCTTCACAGAGCTGCTCCCATTGACTGGTTCAGGGAGCCGAATCTCCTGATCACCGTGTCCCTAGCACAAATTCTCCCTCTCGTTGGGACACAGAGGGAGAGTCTCCTCCTACTTGTTCAACCACGTGCAGGTCAGACCGCTGACACAAGTTGCTGTTACTCTCCCAGGCATGACTTTCAGCCACGGAAATAAATAGCCATAACACCCCCAGAGCTGGTTTGCTGTGCCCAGTCCCCTCCAGAGCTCTGCACGCGTGCGACGGGGCGGTGTAGCCACCTACTCGCACTGGGTGGACCAATGCACACGCAGTAGTTGTGTAAGGCTCTGTCCTGGCAGAGCAACAGCTT